TTCCTGCCTATGCAGGGGGTCGGACTCGATGATCTATTGAGGTCCCTTCCGACCCTAACATCTATGAATCTATGAATAAGTCAGATGCCAATAATGGTTGCCACAAATAGTGTTGGAAAGGAAAAAGAGCACCTGCCCACCTATGGTGTGTTAAGCAATGGCTGACAGCCCCCTGCTCATCCCTGCAAGGCTACCAGTCAATTCTGCAATGGAGAGGAATACCCTCTGAGGAACAAGTCTGTCCTGGCAGGGTGAAGGACAACATACCCTAATCAGATTCTCCCCACTCTAGTTTTTATGATGCGGGGGAGGGGGGGGGCAGTGGTGAATGCTCAGAGATATCTGTAAGAAAAGTAAAACGGAGCTGCTCAGTACTACCAACTCTCAAGCTTGTAGATGTGCACCATGTCATAATCAGACATAAAGATTTTGAAAGCAAACACACTTCTCTCTATTTACTCATTCCTTTTGCTCTACCAGGTTCATGTTTCAACAGAGCTAGCACAACGTGTTAAAATGCTATTTTAAAATGGATGCATTGGGGTTTTCCTCCTTTGCAATGAATACTTTCACATTTTAAGCCTTCAGGAGAAATAATTTGGAAGCTGTTAATGTAGACAGGTCATCCCCTAACATACTTTTGAGTATGGGTTTTCTTTTAGAGAAGACAACCATATTTACTGGAATAGAAGATGACCCTGATTGTAAGACAATCCCCCAATAATTAGATTCTATATATGGACAATTTATAAATCTGTTATAATTTACCAGGTATAGAATGTAATTATTGGAGATTTGCCTTGAATTTGTCCCCCTCCCTTTGCTACAGCAGAGAAAATATATCAGATAGCTCTTCACTCACCTCTCCCCCCCCCCTCCCCCCCACTTTAAAGTTAGGGGAAAAGCACAAAAGCAATCCCTCATTGCCACAAAATTGTGCAGTCAAGATCCCTGTATTTGGGGAGACTTTCAGGGCTCAGCCTGTCTGGAGTGCAGGGGACAGGCCTCACCTTGATCTTAGCCCAAGTGGCCAGTACTTATTGTGTTGTGGTTGGATGGTAAAATGCAATATTTTTTATTTTGCGAAAATATTAATTTCTATATATAAAGAGAGAGAAAAATAAATATATATCTATACCTATGCCTCTACAAACCTGTCTCTTGATCACTATGGTTCACTCGACAGTCCAAAACACACCTGTACAGTTACACCATCCTTATTGCCATTACAAAGACCATACCAAGTACCCGTGTGCCCCCATACCCACATGTCTATCACCTTCACCTTTAGACATCACAGTCACACAAAGGATTGTCTTCACATCTCCTTCCTATCCCCCTCTCCCTCCACTCCTTGCAACCCCACCTCCTGATTCTTCAGTCCATTCACTCATTGCTATAATTGTCATTGTCATCATGGTCATCTCTGTCATCATCATCATTCATCAGCTGCCCCACCTCTGAATAGTCTGTGCCGGACTTTTCCTTTCCATATTATCCCTGCCATCTCCTCCCCAACATCTTCTACCAACTTCCTATACTATCCTTACATCTCACTTGGTCCCATTTTGGCACAGTACCTCAACTAATAGGTTTGTGTACCTGTATATGAGCAGGTTCTTGGTCTTCCACTGAGCATTTCTGAAGCAGGAGACAAACTGGTTGAAGTGGGCTGTCACAGTCCTCTGCTGCTTGATTATGTGACCAAATGGTACTGCCTCTCTGTCCAGGGTCTTGACTCCTGTTACCATCATGAAGAGTACTCTCCTCCACACCCCCTTGGCATATGGGCAGTACCAGAGAAGGTGGTAGATTGTTTCCACTTTCCAGCAGCAGGTTTGTGTGGGGCAGTTTGGTGCACCTTTCTACCCAGCTCTGTTTCTCTTTGCCCACATGGGGAATGCCCAGTGGACTACCTACCAGTTCAGGTCTCTGTGCTTCTTCTGCAGGTCCTTGTGGAAGATTCACTCCCACACAGCTTGGCAACTGTTGCCAGGTAGTAGATCCTTGGGCAAAACAATGCCTCTTGTCCTTACCACCTCCTGCATCTTATGGTGGTTTGTCAGGGTCACTAGAGCCTCATTGTGTAGTCTGTATTTGTTCCAGAAACATTCCAGGATGCTGTAGAACCACAACAATTCCATGGTCCTTGAGCCTGGGTTGGTCATCCTGTACACCCACCATTGTCGCAGCAGGTGTCCTGCAAAAATACTTTACAAAGCAGGCTGTTTTGGATTCTGTCCCCATCGCCAGTTTTCAGATCTGGCTCATGTACTTGGCCCAGA